TCCTCTTAGGAGAATCAATAATTTCCCAGCCTGTCTCTCAGGAGTGCCATTTCTGGGTGGAATTGTTGACCCCAATTCTACTTCAGCCAGTTTGTGATTATTCTGCAGGAACACAAGAATGTGTCCCACTTCATTTATTCTTCATAATGGTAGTAGATTGTTATTTAAAATTAACTGGCTTTGTATGCCAAACAAATAAAGGGGGGCGAGAGAGGGGAAGAAAGAGGAAGGGGAAGGAGGGAGGAAGAGGAAGGAGGAGGAGAATAAGAAGAAGAAAGAGAAGAAGACGACGACTCATGACTTCTTGGAACCCAAATCATTGGAAAATACCCAGTCTAAAAATGTATGTATGTATGTATGTATGTATGTATGTATGTATGTATGTATTTATTTATTTATTTATTTATTTATTTATTTATTTATTTATTTATTGGTTCGATTTATATGCCACCCTTTTTCCGGAAACTCAGGGCGGCTTACAATGCGTTAAGCAATAGCCTTCATACTTTTGTATATACCTGCTTAGTAGGGCTTTCGCCCCCCCCCCAAGCGGTGTTCTTTTTTTATACAAAGTCAGCTTATTGCCCCCACAAACCGGGTCCTCATTTTACCTACCTCGAAAGGATGGAAGGCTGAGCCTGTTGAGATTTGAACTTGCAGTAATTGCAGGCAGCTGGTGCTATTTAACAGCGCTTTAGTTTGCTGCGCCACCAAGGCTCTTTTTTATTATGGAATTTGTTGGATAAATAGACCATAATAATAATAATAATAATGTAACTGCATATAACAATGCAGAACAAATAATGCTGCTACGTTAAAATTTAAAAAAATAAAACCTGCTGAATCAAGATTTAGGGATGTTTGGGATCTTTCTTCTCCCTGTAATCCTGCATAACCAAAAGACTCTGCTGGAGTGCACTGACCATAGAAACGGGATCACTGAAAACTAAGTTCATCCATGAAGAATCACACATAAAAGTTGTCTCCGTGCAATTTTTGGACAATGTCCCCTTGTCTTTCAACCTCCCTGTTACCCGCACAATCGCCTACCTCTTTCAAAGCTCTCTACGGAGCACTTCAGAGGGATAGAGGGGAGGCTGTGAAAAAATGGATCGGTCTCATTCAGCAGATGGTATATAAAATGCACCTGATGTAAACAACTATTTGCAATTCACAGTTGAACGCACCTGTCAGCAGCCCTTCAAACTTTGCTTTAAAACAATATTATCTCCTCTTCCATCTACCCCCTCCCTTGGGCTTTCACTGAAGTCTGGGGAAGCCTTTTGCTTCCCTTTTTGAAAAAGAAAAAAAAAAGACTGTAAATAATGATATGCTTCACATCTGAGAAAAAGAATGGATTTTTGGAACAAATGAAAAGTGCAAGCCTGTGCGAAACTCTTGCAATGTATGGTTATGAAAGTCGGACCATAAGAAGGGCTGAACGCCAAAGAATTGAGCTTTTGAACCAGGGGTGAAATCCACTTACCTTCACTAGCAGTTCGCAAATGTGAGCATACACAGAGCCTTCTGCGCGTGCGCAGAGGGTAAAAAATGGGATGTGATGACATTCAGGTGGGTGGGCGGAGCCTCCTGCCACTGGCGCTACCGGTTCGCCTGAGCCAGATAGAACCAGCTGAATTTCACCACTGCTTTGAACTATGATGCTGGAGAAGACTCCTGCGAGTCCCTTGGACTGCAAGGTGATCAAACTGGTCAGTCCTAGAGGAGATCAACCCTGACTGCTCTTTAGAAGGCCAGATCCTGAAGATGAAGATGAAATACTTTGGCCACCTAATGAGAAGGAAGGACTCATTGGAGAAGAGCCTAATGCTGGGAAAGATTGAGGGCAAAAGAAGAAGGGGACGACAAGAGAACAAGGTGGTTGGATGGAGTCACTGAAGCAGCCAGCGTGAGCTTAAATGGACTCCAGAGGATGGTAGAGGTCAGGAAGGGCTGGAGGAACGTTGTCCATGGGGTCACGATGGGTCGGACATGATTTTGCAACTAACAACAACAATGCAAAACTCTACTCAGCAGTAATAAGTCTCATTGAGTTCAAGGGGTTGACTCTTAGTAAATAAGATGACATAGGAATGTAACCTAAATTCCAAATAAATATCCAATGGTATCAATTGAACAGAAATAAGGATTTATTGAGTCTGTGTGGTGCAGTGGCTAAGGTGTCAGGCTAAAATGTGAGTGACCTTCAGCCAGTCACTGTCTCTTAAGCCCTGGAAAGATGCCAAATCACATCTAAAATCTTGCCAAGAAAACTGCAGGAACTGATCCAGGCAATGACAGGTATTCAACACAGATGCAAAGGTGATGATGAATGACACACATCATTCATCAATAAGCTATCTATTAGACTGTAATTCTGAGCATATTATTAAATGTATATGTTGTCCACCTCACTATCCAAATCAACTCTGGACAGCATATAAATTAAATAAATAAAACTTCTCAGAATTGCAGTATAGCAGCATTAATACTGTGGCAGGATCCTGAGTAGTTGCAGGAATGTGGCTTGTGCTTTTTACTCATGTCTCCAATCTTGATTGAAGTTTCCCTGCAGCATCCTCAGAAATAGGGAAGACAAGTTACACAGAGAAATGTGGGGGACACATAAACCCTGATGATGTAGCTAGTGCTACATCAGACTGGCTCCCAAATATCTCTCAGTTCCTGTTAGTGGGGTGTAATACTTATAGCATGGGAGTAGAACTAGGGAGACTAACTAACTTAGGCCCAATTGATCTCTTTCATCCCTCCTATTTCAGAGGGTTATTTTGGTGCACAGGAATAGGAGAGATGAAAGAGAGTAAGTTAGTCACGGTGGTGCAGTGGTTAGAGTGCAGTACTGTAGGTTACTTCTGCCGGCTGCCTGCAATTTGGCAGTTCAAATCTCACCAGTCTCAAGGTTGACTCAGCCTTCCATCCTTCCGAGGTGGGTAAAATGAGGACCCAGATTGTTGGAGGAAATATGCTGACTCTGTAAACCACTTAGAGAGGGCTGAAAAAAGCACTGTAAAGCGGTATATAAGTCTAAGGGCTATTGCTATTGCTAGTATCCCTAGATCCAGTCCCATGCTTTAAGTATTGCACCCACTAGCAGGGACTGGCTGAGTGAGTCTTGGGAGCCAGTCTGAAACCCTAGCTATATAATCAGACTAGCCGGTTCATGCGTCCCCCACATTTCTCTGTGTAACTTACCTTCCATATTTCCAGAGTACTTCACAAACTTTCTCTAGCTATTGCAAGAAAGAAGGGATCTAACACTGAAATAGGCATGCGGGAGTGCCTGAGCTGCTTGTCACAATTCTTTTTTACTTTGCAATTTCCACAACCCTTTAGCTTCAGAAGGCAGCCAGCTGCACACTCTCCTGTTCATCTAGATGCTTAATTTGGGAGATTTCTCTCTTTGCAATGCATTGTTCCTTCTGTTGTTGTTAGTTGTGAAGTCGTGTCCGACCCATTGTGACCCCATGGACAATGTTCCTCCAGGCCTTCCTGTCCTCTACCATCCCCCAGAGTCCATTTAAGCTCATGCCTACTGCTTCAGTGACTCCATCCAGCCACCTCGTTCTCTGTCGTTCCCTTCTTCTTTTGCCCTCAATCTTTCCCAGCATTAGGCTCTTCTCCAGTGAGTCCTTCCTTCTCATTAGGTGGCCAAAGTATTTGAGTTTCATCTTTAGGATCTGGCCTTCTAAAGAGCCATCAGGGTTGATCTCCTCTAGGACTGACCGGTTTGATTGCCTTGCAGTCCAAGGGACTCGCAGGAGTCTTCTCCAGCACCATAGTTCAAAGGCCTCAATTCTTTGGTGCTCAGCCTTCCTTATGGTCCAACTTTCACAGCCAGACAAGGCAACTGGGAAAACCATAGCCTTGACTAGACACACTTTTGTTGGCAGGGTGATGTCTCTGCTTTTTAGAATGCTGTCTAGATTTGGTTCTTTCTATAGCGAGCCTTTTTTTTACGATTATTCCCAAGCGGTTGTCTCGGCGTGTGCTCTCTGTATGGCCATCCACCAATCTACCTGCCTGGAAGTCCCATTTCCCCACTTGTCCGGGAGCCAAAGCAGGTGATCTCCGTCTCCAGCTCAAAGCGCCGCGGTTCCTCCCCCTTCGGGCACGCCCTCACTTCTCCGCCCTTTTCCAGCGAGCGAGCGAGCGAGCGAGGAGGCGCGTTCAAGCTCGAGGAATTGGGAGGGAAAATTCCTTGCCCCTGAACTGGAGAAAGGGTACCCGGGTGTGGGAGCGGGCCGGCCGGGGAACGAATAACCCGCACCTCCCCTCCTTCCCTTCCGACTCATCATCCCGATCTGTTCCGAGTGTTTCGGAGGGGAAAGAAACCTCTTATGATGGATTGGATCTCTGGTGTGCAAGTCCAGAACCTTGCAGGGCAGGCGAGAAATCCCCCCCCACCTCGCAGTGCTGCATCTTCTGCCTTAAATCCGTCCAGCAATAGCGGCCTCCGGTTTACTGAATACCCTTTGGAGCAACCGTAAATAAAATGAAATGAAATGCACGCTTCTCCATAAACCAACCCGTTCTTCCAGCCCTTCACTGCGGAGCATTCCAGATTGCTAAAATCCATAGGAATTCTGCAGATCTACGATCTTCTTGGAGAGAAGGCAAGGAGGAGCAGTATGGGGGCGGGCAGCGAGGAGAGGGAAAAGAAGTTCAGAAGAAACTCAGCGTAAGGGAGTAGAAAACATCTATTTTCTCTTTCCACGCGTGGAAATCACTCCCCAATTCATATACCTCAGTAGTATCACGGGGACCCCCGGGTAAGGGTGGGGAAAATCCTCTGGGACAAATGAAATTGACCCAAGAATGAAATTGACTAAACCACCAGAAAAGGAGAAAAGGAGAAATGGGTAAGAAACACCGAAGCTGCCTCCGAAAATGGATGGGAAGGTGTGTAACCGAATACCTGCTTCCCGAGGGATTTGCAAAGACACAGGGAAGACCGCGCGAACAAAATTAAGATGCCTTACTTATGTCTCGCCAGGGGCTTCTCCGGAGTGAGTTGAGGGCTAGATCCCGAGGTATAGAGGTTGTATCTGTTGCCGTAAGAGATGGGCAGAGGATGGCGGTAATACGTCCCTTTCGCCTCGGTAAGGCAAACCAGGGTCCCAGCGCAGAGCAAAGAGATCGACGTGCCAAAGGCAACTTCTCTGGAGAATCCTTTCGCCCGGTTCATGATCCCTTCCCCGCAGATCGCGCGGTCAACTTTCTCCCAAAAGATCTGCTGGAGGAGTTCGGCTTGAGGCTAGTTGGGTCTCGGCTTTCCAGTCTCTCCGGAGAGAAGGTGGGCTGCGATTTGCTCTTCTCCAAGCCCTTGACGAAATAGGAGGGGTGGGGGATTCTTTGCCGAGAGAGAGAGGGGGGGAGAGACCCTGCGAGGAGATCTCTGCCCAGGGAAGGGAGGGAAGCGCGCTCTCCGCTGGCGCCTGAGCTGCTGGTTCCAGTTCAACGCTCTTTTGTACCTTTCCTTGCCATTCACTTTTCTCCAGGCAGCTCGGGTCCCTAGTACGGCAGGGAAGAGGGGCGGGACCCCCCCTCTCTCTCTGGATTAGCATAATACTCCTTCCATCGTCTCCTCCAGCCGATTGGCCTTTGAAATGCTGGCCCAGCCAATCCGGGTCCAATCCCCCGCAGCGCTGCATCAGACACTAGCTTTAAAACCGAAGGAGAAGGAAAAAAGGGGGAAAGAGAGGGAAGAAAAGGAGGAAGGAAAATGGGTTGAGTGATGGTTGGGTTGACTCTGAGGGAAGAGAAAAAGGAAAACAAAACCAGGGATGAGAGAAGCTAGACGGGGATGGGGGTGGGGGAAGGCCAAAGAAAAGGGGAGAGGGAAGAAGGAAAACCACAATGTGCCAGATTCAAGAATGCCCTCTTTCAGGAATGTTGGCAGGAGGAGGTGACCGATTCTCAAACCTCTCCCCTGTTCTGATTCTTATCTTCATAAAGCTCTGGGTATCCCTGTACATCAAGCAGTTTACAGGCACAGGGAGTTGTGGTAGCTGCAGTCCACAGGAATGTACATAATTGCATATTTCACTTTTGGAATAATAGCATTTTAGGGTTTAGTTTTTTTTTAATGAGAAAAGTAGCAGCAGCTTCAAGGCAAGGAAGCAGAATGAAGTTTATGGTCCGTCATCTGCTGCAGGCGCGTGCAGTATAGAGTTTATCATATAAACTTGCAGGTCTAAGGCCTGGTTCATTCAGACTGTTTTATGGAACTTAAATAGTACTTTACCCAAGTCGAAAAGCTCAGTGCTAAATGAGCGACTTTGAATCCACTTCTTAGTGGATATACGGCAGCTGAAGATTTGAGATCTTACTCTCAGCCCCTCTTCCCATTTTTAAATCATTGTGATATTTAAGGAATGGTAGTGACATATTTAGTATAGCCAAAGGTGACTTACAGTGGGAACAAGTGAACTCAAACAACTCCTGTGTAAGACAATAGAGGAGGTTTCCAAGTCAAAAAGTATCATTTTTCAAGCGGGCAAGATCCCCAAAGCCTTTATTTTGAAACACACCTGCTTAGTCACTCTGACAGATGACAACTGTTGATTTAAAAACAACAAGATTGTTTGCAGGATGTACTGACCTGGTCTCCCATTCTTCTCCCCCTTGATCCCTCAAAAACAATTTGGCCTTGCCTAAAGACCCTTGAATATCCTTGATCCAAGAATGATCTATGTTCCAATAATGTGGATGCAGTTCATAGCCCCAGAGAACATTTTTGATCTATCTAGCCAATACAGGGAGAAGCTTTTCAGGATTTCAAAATAGTGTCTTGTAACTGAAGCTGTTGCTGTTAATATTCCCATGTGAAGCATGAACTCTATTCTTGTCAGTAATATTCCAGGTATAGATTAGGACACATCTTGGACCCATTTCTCTTAACATAAATTGAATTGTGTGTGTGTGTGTGTGTGTGTGTGTGTGAATAATGATTAAGGACTATTTTTAGAAGTGTATTGGATCAGGTTTCTCCGATGAAGATTGACATTTACATTTTTGGCATTTATAAAGCTTGTAGAAAGCCACATTAATAAGGACAACTGAAAATATATTCCATTAAAAAGTTACTGATTCTTATTTTTAATTGATGCATGTGCAAAGAATGCAATGGCTAACACGCACATGGTCTGAAAATGCCCATAATATGGAACATCCATAAATTTCAGAAACAAGTGACAGAGCACACAGGGTATAAAAGATCTCACAATGCAAAAACAAACAAAATCACATAAACTGCTCTAAATATTGAACCCATTGCCCAAAATGTGATCAAACCCACATGTGCAGAAAATATACAGTATAGGAAGAATTATTTTTATCAGCTGGATGTATATAAAGCTTTACATGCTCAGAATGTATAATCATGCAAAGCAGCATTTGATACAGAAAGAAATGGTTGAAACTCTGTTTCAAATCTTTACATGGGTTTATTGCCCGTACAGACTACAGCTTTCTCTTATCTGTAATAAAATGAGCAAAATCTTTGAAGAATTTGTTGAGCTTTCTAGCATCCTTTTTAATAATATATCTGGCAGCTATATTGGACATATCTGGCAGTTCCTAAGCAGCTATGCTCGGTCTCTGTTTTCCATACAATGTAATCTGGTGCACCTCACAGATGTATTCCAATTGCAGGACAGTTTGGGAATTGTGCATGGGTACGAGAAGTTCATTCCACTGAATTTTAAGTCATAATGCCCCAACCCTTTGGGTAACTCTTTCATCATGACATTTAACACACACAAAATGACTTGTGACCAAATTCATTTACAAATTTCCTACCAGTAGTGGTTTATCATGCTGGAAATCACATTTTACTGCACATTTCAAAACATTATAGCTAAAGGATGGGAAACAATACACTTTTGCTTCAAACTTGTATTTTTGAAACTTATGTATTCACCTTTCTCCCCAAATGTCAGGAAAACAGAGTGGAAGACAATGGCTTATTCAAACTGGGGCTACTTCTCCACCTGCCCCATTAAAGCTGCTCTTAGTGTCGGTAATGTCATGTGATACTAGGTGTGACACTAAGTTGATCTTCTACATACCAAATCTGAATCCCATCACTGATGGCTTCTCCTGTAAGAAAGAGATTTATGGAACCTAGATCCTTTTCCTTTCCCCCAGAATCTTGTTTTCTTCAGCCACAAAGAATAATCTGCATTGGACTCCCTAGCTTTTTGAAGTTTCTGGACCAGGGACAAATAACTTGTAACCTTCCAGATGCTGATGGACAACAACTCTCAGCAACTCTAGCATTATGAATGCTGGAAGCTGTAGCTCAGCAGTATCTGAGAAAGAGACACATGTTCCTGGTCCCTGTTCTAGATTCTAGCACCCTATATGCATTCCCACAGATTTCTGGGTGTCTTAAATTTTATGTTGATTTAGAAATTCATATCTCTTCATTGTCATGATCATCAAGCCATTGCTTCTATTTCTTCCCTCTTCAAGATTGATATATGCAACAGGACAACAATGCAACTAACTCTTTTGGCTTTATGATCTAATGATGGCTCCAGCAATTCATGCTCCCATGGGAAGCAGCAGCCATTCTCACAGCCAGTTTTCTAGCTGTTTAATGTTCATAAGGTAAAGTAAAGGTAAAGGTAAAGGTTCCCTCATACATACAGTATGTGCTAGTCATTTCTGACTCTAGGGGATGGTGCTTATCTCCATTTCAAAGCCAAAGAATCAGCGCTGTCCGAAGACATCTCTGTGGTCATGTGGCTGGCATGACTAAATGCCAAAGGCTCACGGAATGCTGTTACCTTCCCACCAAAGGTGGTCCCTATTTTTCTACTTGCATTTTTCGAACTGCTAGGTTGGCAGAAGCTGGGACAAGTAATGGGAGCTCAGCCTGTTATGTGGACTAGGGATTCAAACCGCTGAACTGCCGACTTTTCGATCGACAAGCTCAGCATCTTAGCCACTGAGCCACCACGTCCCTTTTAACATTCATAGCATCCTTCTAAGAGCCCTGGAAGCTCTGTTTAATGAGAATATAAAGAAATGTGCATTCAAGAACTCTAGGCCTCTTCTCAGAAAAACTATTGAATAGTTAAGAATAATATTTATTCGTTTATGTATTTGCTGGAGATTTCCAAGGATGGTACTTCTAATACTTCCTGAAGTCAGCAGATTGGAGAAGACTGCTTAGAGTTTCAGCACATGGAACTGAAACACTCAAATTATATTTCCGTTTTATGCATTGAAAATGTATTTTAGCCTTTTCCAACATGCCCTCTAAGAGTGTTAGGATTAGAGCCCTAAAATTTCCCTTCACTTGGAGGACAGCAAACCTGGGAAGGTTGCTGCATTAAATGTTAAAAATCTAATATTGGTATTGTTTCAGCAGGTGGCAGCACCAGCCAACCTTGTCTAGACTCAGAAGCTAAGCTGGATCAGGCTTGCTTAGAACTGGGATGGGCAAATGCCAGGGCATAAGGGGGCTATAGGCTAGATTGGGAAGGAAAAAAAGAACACTTCAGGAGATGGCAATGGCAAACCACTTCTATACAACTGCCAAGAAAATGACAAGGAAGAATCTACAATGGTGTTTTATGATGGTTGGGTAATCCTAGAAATTGAAGTCCACACATCTTAATGTTCCTGAAATTGAGAAATACTGTTGTATAAAGTCACAAGGAGACAAGCTCAACTTGAAGGAGCTTTTTAATGGTGGTACTAACTTTTATCTCATCCCTTTCCTGAAATATGCATAAACGTGCATGCTGCTCATAGCTTCCATATCAAGTTGCATTAACAAATCTCATCTAATTTTGAGGTACAAAGTAAGCCCAAAATATGTGGTAAAGTGCCATAGTTCTAAAGACATGAATCTGAATCCAAAATACAAAATGTAATTAAGATTTCCCATGGATGCTGACATTGGAAACATGTCACAAACCCAAGATGCTATCCAATTAAGATCAATGAACCTTGTTAAAAGAAAATTAATTCAAGGCATTACAATAAATAAAAATCACAGCCCAAACACTGTTATTCTCTCCTTGCCAATTTTGTTAAATATTCTCTGAATGGCTCTGTGAAATCAGGGCAGGTTTTAGCTTTCTGTTGATTGATTGATTGATTGATTGATTGACTGACTGACTGACTATGTGCCATTAAGTCATTTTTTTGACTCTTGTATGTGTGTGTGTGCCTTCAAGTCAATGTTTACTTCTGGAAATTTTCTGAAAATTTTCCAGACAAGTTCCGGCTGATTTCTTGGCAAGGTTTTTCAAAAGTACTATTGCCTCCTTCCTAGGACTGGAAGAGACTGACTGGCTCAAGATCAGCCAGCTGATTTTGTGCCTAAAGCTGTTTCTAGCCCAGTGATGGCTAACCTTTTTGCCGTCACGTGCCAAAAGCGGGGGGAGCGCAGTGAGGTCGCCCACATGTGTGCCCACACCCATAATTCAATGTGCCCCACTCCTGCACATGCGCCCTCCCACTTTTAGCACATGA